GCATCAGCATCACCTGGGAGCATGTTACAAATGTAAATCCCTTACTACTGAATTAGCATCTCTGGGGATGGGACCAAGGGTCTGTTTTTTAATAATCTCTTTTAGTGATTTTAATGCTTAAGTTTTAGAAGAATTGTACAGTTATACTATTTCATTCTACTCTCTGTGTCTCTTAACTGGTCATATTTTTTAATCTCTTGACTCTTTGCTGAGTGATGGGTAATTTATTCAGATCTATCTTTCATTTCAGCACTTTTTCCCATTGGCTGTGTCTGATCTGTTGTTTGGACACATCATCAGGAAAGATCGATTTGCTAGAAGAGAAAGTTACGTTTAGTAAAGTAGAGGGTCAGCAGAAACAAGGGAAACCCTTAATGAGGTGGATTGTCACAATAGCCACAACAATGAATTCAAACATACCAATGATCATGAAGATGGCACAGGACCAGGCAACCTTTCGTTCTGTTATACATAAGGTTGCCATGAGTTGGAGCCAATTCAATGGCAACTAACAACAACAAATTTTTTCAGCAGGCATTTTTTTCCCTAACCCACCTGTTCAGAGGGTATGGACCTTCAAGAGTCCCAGCTTTATGTAGGGATCTCAATTCACACTCTTCACTTTGTGTGGACCCAAAACCTTGTTTTCTTCCTTCCCTTGCAGCCAAGGGTCTGGGTGTCTGGTATTAGCAGTTGATCGTCAGGCAAGCTCGTATCCCTAGTCAACTTTCACCACAATAATGCTGTAAAAAAAACCACTTCAAAATTCAGTGTCATCAAAAGAGAGTCCCTGATGGCGCAGGAGAAAAGTGGGGTGCAAAACTCAAATTCTAGTAAAAAGACCAGACTTAATGGTCTGACTGAGACTGGAAGAACCCCAGAAAGCATGGCCCCTGGACTCTTTGTCAACCCAGAACTAAAACAATTCCTGAGGCCAACTCTTCAGACAAAGATTGGACTGGACTGTGGGACATAAAATGATACTCGTGAAGAGTGTGCTTCTTAGCTTAAGTAGATACATGAGACTAAATGGGCAGCTTCTGTCTGGAGGTGAGATGAGAAGGCAGAGAGGGTTAGGAGCTGGTTGAATGGACATGGGAAATCCAGGATGGAAAGGAGGAGTGTGCTGTCATAGTATACGGAGAACAATAAGGGTCACATAACAGTGTATGTATAAATTTTTGTATGAGACACTAACTTGAAATGTAAACATTCACTCAAACTACAACAATAAACAAACAAAAGAAAAAAATTCAGTGTCATATAAGAATAACTGTTTAGTTCTCACTCATCTGGGTTCAACGGATCTAAGCTAGGTTCACCTGATCTTGGCTCCAAGCTGTTGGTAACATTTTGTCCTACCTTACATGTCTCATCTTTCATGGACCAGCAGCTACCTGCGGCATGTTCTTCTCATGAAAAGCGAAAGTACAACAGGGCAAGCCCAGGTACAAGCACATAAAAGCCTATGTTTAAATCACATCCGCTAACATCCCACTGACCAAAGCAAGTCATATGGGCATGCCCAAATTCACAAGGAAGAAAAGAAGTGGTGAAGGGGAAGGAGTGAATATTTGCTGAACAGTAATCTAATCTACACATTTCATCTTCTTCTTTACTTCACACTTGGTTTCGGCTCCTTTTTCTTTTTAAGTCCTTGGGGAGTCCCCTTCCTTTCCTAGGAATTCAGCTAAGTGTTTAAAAGATATGATTTGTATTTACCCAACTTCTAGGTCTTTGTGGAATGAGGATTTTTCAGAGTAATTGGTCCACCATATTGCTAGAAGTATATCTTGCACACAGCGATTATGTATTAAAGTCAGGACTCTATCAAAGGTCTGCAGACTCCCACGTCCTCTTCTTTTTTTTGACCATACTACTGCTACCCTTTAAGGAGCCCTGGTGGTGGAAATGGTTAAGTGCTCGGCTGCTAACCAAAACACTGGCAGTTCAAGCCCACCCGGCATCTCCACAGGAGAAAAGACCTAGCGGTCTGCTTCCGTAAAGATTACAGGCTGAAAAACTCTGTGGGGCAGTTCTACTCTGTCACATGGGGTCACTATGAGTTGGAATCCACTCAATGGCAACCGATAACAACAACATTTCTGCCCTTTACGTAAATGCCCTCTTAAAAAAATCAAACCAGTTGCTGTTGAGTCAGTTCCGACTCATGATGGCCTCATGTTACAGAGTAGAGCTGAGCTCCATAGGGTTTTTTTGGCTATAATCTTTATGGAAACATCATCAGGACTTTTTTCCACGGTGCTGCTGTATAGGTTTGAACTACCAACCTTTCGATTAGTTGAGTACAAACCATTTGCACCAACCCTCTTAGTGCAGTGTTTTTCAAACTGTTTTGAGCATAAGCCATTGTAAAAAACGCTTTTAAAGCTAGAAATACAAGTACCATATGATCCAGCAATCCTGCTTCTTGGAATATATCCTAGAGAAATAAGAGCCATCACACAAATAGATATATGCACACCCATGTTCATTGCAGCACTGTTCACGATAGCAAAAAGGTGGAAACAACCTAGGTGCCCATCAGTGGACAAATGGATAAATAAATAATGGTATATTTACACAATAGAATAAAACTACACAACGATAAAGAACAATGATGAATCCATGAAACATCTTCTAACATGACGGAATCGGGAAGGCATTATGCTAAGTGAATTTAGTCAGTTACAAAAGGACATATACTGTATAAGACCACTCTTATAAGAACTCAGAAAAGGTTTAAGCACAGAAGAAAACATTCTTTGATGGCTATGAGCATGGGGAAGGAGAGAGAGGGTTATTCACTAACTAGATAGTAGACAAGAATTAGGTGAAGGGAAGGACAGCACACACTACAGGGGAAGTCAGCACACCTGGACTAAACCAAAGCTAAGAAGTTTCCTGAATACAATCAAACACTTTGAGGGACAGAGTAGCAGGGGCAGAGGTCTGAAGACTATGCTTTCAAGGGACATCTAGGTCAGTTGGCATAACAAAGCTTATTAAGAAAATGTTCTGCATCCTACTTTGGTGAGTGGCGTCTGGGGTCTTAAAAGCAGTGATCTAAGATAGATCAATTGGCCCCAACCCACCTGGAGTAAAGGAGAGTGAAGAACACCAAGGTCACAAGGAAACCATTAGCCCAAGAGACAGAAAGGTCCACATAAAGCAGAGACCCCATCAGCCTGAGACCAGAAGAACTAGATGGTGCCTGGCTACCACCAGTGACCGCCCTGACAGGGAACACAACAGAGAGTCCTGTTGGAGCAGGAGAAAAGTGGGGTGTAGAACTCAAATTATAGTAAAAAGACCAGACTTAATGGTCTGACTGAGACTGGAGGATCCCTGGAAAGCTTGACCCCCGAACTCTCTGTCAACCCAACACTAAAACCATTCCTGAGGCCAACTCTTCAGTCAAAGATTAGACTGGACTATGGGACATAAAATGATACTCGTGAAGAGTGTGCATCTTAGCTCAAGTAGATACATGAGACTAAATGGGCAGCTCCTGTCCAGAGGTGAGATGAGAAGGCAGAGAGGGTCAGGAGCTGGTTGAATGGACACGGGAAATCAGGGGTGGAAAGGAGAAGTGTGCTGTCGCAGTACAGGGAGAGCAATCAGGGTCACATGACAGTGTATGTATAAATTATTGTATGAGAGACTAACCTGAATTGTAAACTTTCACTTAAAGTACATCAATAAATTTTTTTAAAAAATAGTTTTTATATTACAGACCAGTATACACATATGTAATTGACAAAGTGCTTCTAACCTTTATGAAGTGAGATGCACTCTGATGTTTTCTATTTCATTTTTTAAATACCAGTCATTATAATAAAGTGATTTTAGTCTCAATAGGCCACAACCTGCAGTTTAAAAAACACTGACCTACTGAACTCATTTAATCATTTTCTCTTCCTTTTTACTTATTTTGGAATATGTCTACTTTTATGTCTTTACAAAGGAAAATAAACTCACTTGGGCTGTCTTTTCATCTGATTCGTTACGAATTTCTCTCTGGTCAGTGGTCCTAGGCCAGTCTTCAGTGCTACCTAGTTCCTTTCTGCAAATAAACCATGTATCAAGCCTGTACTCTGGCACACGCAGCCCAGTGCCCGCTGTCAACATCAATGCAGGTAGGTTAGATCCTAGTTCTTAAAGAAATGACATCATGAAGAAGCTTCAGCTAAACAGATACTTGGCCAGGGCACAGCCTGGACACGAAGTGTAGGAAGCTCCTTAGAGGCTGAAAGATGGCTAGTAAAGGCTTCAGCGAGAATAGATCTGAGCAGGGAAAGATAGCAAGGGGAGAGGAATGCCTCGGGGAGATATTTGGAACTTCTCTCAGCAGAAATAGGGAGCTACTGACAGTGTTCGAGCAAGGATATTTGAGCCAGGTAGTTACAAGACTAGATGAAAGCTTCAGGAGAGTTAGTTTGGCAAGTCCGTTCAACATTCATTCAACACATACATACAACGCCTTTTATATGCCAGGTAATCTGCCCGTGTAAAGATTACAGCCTAGGAAACACTATGGGGCAGTTCTGCTCTGTCACATGGGGTCACTGTGAGTCAGAATTGACTTGATGGCACACAACATCAACAACATATGCCAGGCACTGTTCTAGGCATTTGAGATACATTGGTGAACAAAACAAACATCCCTACCCTCATGGAGCTTATTGTCCATCAACAGTGTTGGGGTCGGGGTGGGGTGAGCAGAGGAGTCAAGCTTATATTGCTTATGTGTGTGGAAGGTGGTGTGATGGAAAACGAAAAAAGCAGGGCGAGGGGGATGGGGAGTGCCACTGGTGAATATGCATCCTGCAGGGTGGCTGGAGTCTGGAAGACCAGTCAGGGCATGGCTAGGTGCATGGGGAAGAGGCCTGAGCTCCAGCAGTGGCAGCGAACAGGCAGAGGGGGCAGGATGGCAGGGTTTCTTGCGCACTGAACTGACTTGCCAACCAGCCTCACACTCCTGTTTGTTTCCCTTTCAGAAACACAATGTACAACATCTGTGGCAACAAGCAGGCCCAAGGAATAGGCCATGGACTTCCAGTGGAAGATTCTTCACAGAGTGGAGGGCCTCAGAGGGAGGAGCAGCCCTCATCCCCTGACCCCAGCGCCCCAGGTGAGCTTCTGCCCAGCTGTGAGCTTTCTTCAGAGACTTTAGCGCCTCAGTGAGTAAACTCCTCCCCATGATGCCAGGGCCTGCTAACCGGCATTTGTGCATTTGTGTGTCAAAGATAAAACTCTCCAGGTCACTTCCTCAGGACTAGTAACAATGGTTTTTAAGTAAAAAAGAAAAATGTCTCTTGCTTTTTCTTTTTTTCCTTCCTTCCTTCCTTTCTCTCTCTCTGTCTCTTTCTTTCCCACAGATGGGAGTGGCTGTGTTTCGATAAAACTTTATTTATAAAAGCAGGCTGCAGATTGGATTTGGCCTGCAGGCCATAAATAGCTGACTCTTGCTGTAGAGGAAATAAAAGGACTATGCAGCCTTGAGGCAATCAACTGTGGGAAATATGTCTCCAACTTACCTTTTGGAAAGAATCAAAAAAAGAGTTTGAGCTACTATGTGGAGACAAGAATAAGGAGTATAGATATTCCATGCTCCTATGAAAGGATAGATCTGTGTGCGTTGAAAATCATGCAGAGGGTCGAGGCGGCATTCTGAAATAAGAAACTGGGCATCCTGCCAGGGCTTGTGCCTGAGGAGATGGTCTGAGGGAGACAGACCCTTGCGGGTTGGGGTCCTAGGGTAGAAGACAGGCGCAGTTTAGAGGATGAGCTGAAGGACTTGTCTTTCTCCCGGAGACCAGGCTGCAGGCTGACTAGCACAGCGTAAATGACATTTATATAGCCCAGTCTTCTCAAAGTGATTCCTGGACAAGCAACATCAGCATCACCTAGAAACTTTTAAAAAATGTGCGTTCTCCAGCCAGGCCCAGCTCTACGAGTAGGGCCCAACAATCAGACTTTTTAACAAGCGCTCCAGGTGCTTTTGAAACTAGCTCAGGTTTGTGAACTAATGATGTCATCAATGTATAACCTTTGCATTTCTCCTCTTGAGCAGGGAAAGAACCAGCAGATTCTCCAAAGCCTACGCCCAAGTCTTCTCTGACAGCCAATCTCATTCAGAAAGCCAAGCGCCAGAGCAACACTTTCCCGCTCTTTCCCGAAGGGCTCACACGTCACCGAACCTCCCAGGAGAAGGTGGTGGCCTTGGAGCAGCAGGTTCTGATGCTCACCAAGGACTTAAAGTCTCAGAAGGTGAGTTCTGGCTCCAGAGATGCCTCAGGCTCCAGTGGGCCCTTCTGGGCCTGGAGGCTTTTGGACAAGGGAGAGGTGATACTTAAGCCAACTGGGCATAAGCCAGTCTGTAGTCTTTACAAGCCAAACTGCACAAGGTTGGAAATGCTGTGCTGCCGATTACTCAAGGACATACCGTCACTTAAACTAGGTGACAAAGGGCTGCCAACGGCAGAGTCACTGCAGACATACTTTAATAGCTGTCTTTTGGACCCTCCTAGAGGGCCATGTGTGGTCTGACCCCACACCTGAAGAGGGACTGTATTTGGAGGTGGCAGATCTGATTGTGGGGTCTGTGAGGGGCTGCTGAAGGAACTAAGAGATCCTTCACCTGGTGGCGGATCATTGGGTGCAGATTTCTGAGGACTGTTACAGGACAGAGAAAGCAGGCAGGGTCTGTGGCCCCAGGGGCTGAGCCAGGACCAAAAGGAGACAGTGACAGTGAGGAAGATTTAGACTTAATCTAGAGAGAAGTTAATTATCGGAGTTACGAGAAGGAAGAACTACTCGATCATTGTAGAAAAACATTAAATTATTAATTATTAAAATCATTCAAAGATCCTGCAAGTCAGAGAGTAAATCATGTTGGAATTCAGGGGCTACCTCCTGAATAGTGAGGGTCATGTGGCTACAGCCCTGGGTAGGAGGCTCTCTTTAGTATGATAGAAGTGATTAAGTTAGCACAGTTGTTACCATAAATCCCAACAGTGATGCCTAGTGGTGCCCCAGTGGTGGGTTCCACTGAAGGCCCCGGGCTCCTTTTCCTCTGAGTTGTTGTTAGTTGCCTCCAGTCAATTCCGACTCACTGTGACCCGGTGTGTGCAGAGTAGAACTGCTCCGTAGGATTTCCAGTACTGACCATTCAGAACCAGATCGCCAGGCCTGTCTTCCCAGGCACCTCTGGGTGGGTCTGAAATGCCAACCTTTCGTCTATGGAACACGGCCACACAGGAACTCCTTTTCCTCCGAGAAGGAGGCCGAAGCTTTTGTGTCTCAGCTTTGGCTGCTCTGAGTCCCTTTCTGATTTGTTCCCCAGCTGAGGTGGCTTGGGGAAGTGGGATGTGTGTGTGTTATATTTACCTCTGAATATTGTCCCCCTTGTCCACTTCTTTTTCTTTCTGCTCTGTTTTTGGAGAAGACAATCCAGAAAAATGCTTCCCCTCCCTAGTTTTGCTCCTCCTCTGCCTTCCTGCCCCGAAGTAGTGAGTACAGTCAGCTAATATTGAGGGAACCAACAGAGGCTTCATTCCTGGCACGTCAGGGGTCACATTTAATGAAGTACAGGCAGTCACAGGTTAGGAAAAGGTTTCGTTCCTAAGTCTGTCTTTAAGTCAAATTTATACATAGGTTGGAACAGTTAGGTATGGTTTGTATCTAACATCAGTTACTCCAATGTTTGTCTTAGTATATAGTATATACATCAAAAACATTAAAGAAACACTTCCAGACACACTAAAACATCTTTAACCTAACAATACAACAATAATAATGATGTTTTGATGCACTTCACAAAGTAGCACCCATTTGTTGTTACAAACCATTGTATGTACCACAAATTTTTAATGTGATAGGCTTTACAGGGGCTGGTTCGTAACTATGGGTTGTACATAAGTCAGACATTCATAACCTGGGGACTGTGTATAGCTGGTGCTTGGTTACTGATTAGTTTTCAGAGGAGGGGGCTCATTTATCCATATGGTCTCAGTTCATTTATTTATTACCAAGTCTTACTGAGGGCCTGTTATGTGCATGAGTGTTCTAGGTGCCGGGGAAAGAACAGTGAGCAGAAGGCACAGAACCTGCCCTCACAGGGCTCACATTTCAGGGCAGAGACAGGCAAATCAACACCCAAATATGTAACTTCAAAATTCCAGGTCCTCTCTGAGGCCACCTAGCAGCCCAGCTAGCCCTTTTTTTCTCCCATCATCTTCATATTCCATTGTGAGGCTACTGGATGCTCCTGAGAGTGTCTTCCCATTCTTTCTAGACTATGTGGGCAGCTTTGCTCAACTCACCCTTTCATTCTAAGGCAATACATACACATTGTCAAATGAAGCAGAAAGGCCATGGGAAACCTAGGTTTCATTTAGGTTTGCCCCTGATTGCCATGTAACCCTGGAAGACTCACTGTTCTCTTGGGAATTAATAAGGGTTGCCCAGGCTATTGACAACTCCCCTACATTCAGAGTGAAAATGCCAGGAGGGAATTGTTCAAAGCAATGAAGAAGCTGGATTTTTTTTTGCTGGCTAACTTTCCAGTAAATCTAAACTCTGTCCTAGGGCAGATGGTCAGGAGGAGAACATGCCTTGTGATTTAGCCTTTGTCTCACATTATGAGCATATTTGTACATTTCGTGCATGCACTTCAGCCCAGTGGTTGATTTGGTGCATGTGCCTTCAAATACAACAGTGCAGGCCCAAATTCTGGCCCTGGGCAAATGTCCCTTTAGGCCTCAGTTTCCTCATCTGTAAATGGAGTTAGAATCATGTGTACTGTAGAGGCTTGGATCAGGATTCGTGATGCGCAATGCCTGGCACACCACAAAACCAAATAAACCAAACCTGCTGTCGAGTCCATTCAACTCACTACAGCTGCCCCCTCAAACGCAGACTTAGGTTACTTTGGCTATTACTATAGCTTTGCCTGTCCAGCATGCTGATTCCTTCCTGCCTTTCATGGAATGTTGTACCCAACTGAAGGGCTCTGAGAAGACAGGGAAGTGAGCCCACTAAGGCCTCTGGGAAATGTGCTTGTAGATTAGCCCTGGTGCTGTAGCACTGAGTGTATGTGTGGGTGTGTGTGAATATGTGTGCATGTGTATGGGGAGGGGTGGGGAGGTGTCAGGTCTTCATTCCTCACGAGGAAGAGAGAATCCCCAGCCCTGCCTACCCTGGGGTTTCCCCTCCAGCCTAGATATCAAAACCAAAAAAGAGAAGGAGAAAAGGAGAATACCTACTCTTGACTCGGAGGTGGGACAGAGGAGGCAAGCACAACTTTTGAGTGTCCAGCTGTGGCCTCACTCAGAAATGCTGGTCAGAGAGTACCTCCTCATCTGAGGCCCTCAGAGTCCAGTTTAGCAGCTGGGGAGATAGTCTTCTGGACTTCCAGGGAACATGTCTACATGGTGCCTTCTATGTCTCTTTAGTGGAAAGATACCATCTTTCTGCCTCAAGCTTCAGGAGGACATGAGAATTAGGGGTCTTGTCCCATCTCAGATAGCCAGGTGGCCATTATCAGTAGCTTTATTGTTGTTGTTAGCTGCTGTTGAGTCGGCCCCCTACTCATGGCTACCCCATGCACAACGGAAGGAAATGCTGTGGCTCAGACCGTTGTGATCCATAGGGTTTTCATTGGATGATTTTTTGAAGTAGATCACCAGACCTTTCTTCCTAGTCCATTTTAGTCTGGAATCTCCTCTGAAACCTGTTCAACATCATAGGAACATGTAAGCCTCCACTGACGGATGGTGGCTGCACATGAGGTACACTGGCTGAGAATCGAACCCAGATCTTCCTCGTGGAAGATGAGAATTCTACCACTGAACCACCAATGCCTCATATCAGTAGCTTTAGTGACCCTTTAAGAATTTGCATCTCAAACTCTGTTAGATGCTATGGAGGGTACAGAGACGTGTTGGGGCCAAATCCCTGCCCTCGGGGATGTTACCATCCAGTGGGGAAGCGAGGGCATGAGCACAAATAACTGTGCTAGAGCTTTCCATGTATTCTCTCTAATCCTCACAACAGCCATCATCCTCCTTTTCCTGAAGAGGAAACAGGCTCTGAGAGGTTCTGCATGCCCAGAGTCTCACAGGGGAGGAGCCTCTAGAGCCTCAACTCTTTTTACCATGCTAAGCTTGAGGGCCTCGGAGAAGGTGGATGTGTTAGTTATCTAGTGCTGTTATAACAGAAATACCACACGTGGATGGCTTTAACAAAGAGAAGTTTATTCTCTCACAGTCTAATAGGCTAGAAGTCCAAATTCAGGGCACCAGCTCTGGGGGGAAGGCTTTCTGTCTCTATCGGTTCTGGGGGAAGGTCCTTGTCACCAATCTCCCCTGTTGAGGAGCTTCTCAGTGCAGGGACCCCGGGTCCAAAGGACGCGCTATTCTCCTGGCTCTTGTTTCTTGGTGGTATGAGGTCCCCTTATCTCTCTGCTCCCTTCTCTCTTTTATATCTCAAAAGAGATTGGCTCAAGACACAATCCAATCTTGTAGATTGAGTCCTGTATCATTACTATAACTGCCGCTAATCCCATCTCATCAACATCATAGAGACAGGATTTACAACACATAGAAAAATCGCATCAGATGACAAAATGGTAGATAATCACACAATATTAGGAATTATGGCCTAGCCAAATTGATACGCGTATTTTTGAGGAACAGAATTCAGTCCATGACAGTGGATGACTTGCCTAGGGTCACACAGCTGGGAGAGCCAGGACTGGAGCCTTGACCTCTTTCTCCAGGTCCAGAGCTCTTATCACAGCCCAGGCTGCCTCCTTCATGGTCTCCACAGTGTGGCCCAGTGTTAGACACAAGCACAGTGACTGCTTTTTAGAATACATTCCCTGGGCCTTCTTAGTGTCGTATTAAATAAACCACAGGCAACTCTGATACCCATTAAACCAGTATCTACCCCAGGCCCCTACATCGCTGGCCCACAAGAGATTTGGGCCTCAGGAGGTAGCACCAGGTGGTTGATTGGCTCGGTGACTCATGCCTCAGACATAACAGAATTGCACCCAGCCTAGACTGGAGGAACCCTAGAAACTATGGCCCTTAGACACCCTTCTAACTTGGAACTGAAGCCATTCCTGGAGATCACTTTTCAGCCAAATTATAAACAGGCCTATAAAATAAAGAGTAACACCGTGAGGAAGGAAAGTGCTCCTTAAAACAATCATCTGTATGAGATTGAAAGGGCAGCATCGCCCAAAAGCAAAGATGGGAGAAGGC